ACGCATAGCTCTAATGGCCTCTCTGAACCAAAGTCGGTCTGTCACGATATATTGTACAGTAGTATTAAATTGAAAATTTATTTATCAAGCGACTTCAAAAAGAAGTCGGTTCTGGAATCGGTTGTATTTTTTTTTTATGTTTGTAACCTCATAACTCCGTCAGTTTTAAGGTGATTTCTAAAATTCTTTTTTTATCTGAAAGGTTGGTTTCACAGAAATTTATAAAATTTCAGATTTAGTAGTTTAGTTTTTAAATTAAAATAAGTGTTTTTGTCAGAATTGAAATCGGTTTTTTTTTGTGGGACATATTTTTATACTCGCTATGTGCTCCGAAGGGCCGGTGGTTTTTTTTTTCGATGGGTGAAAATGGTGTCCATGGTAACCCCGCCTGCGCTAACGGGATAAAAAGTACGCTGGCGGATATATCACCAGTGGAGGGTGATAGATGAGAATGAAAACAGGCCAGTTATATAAAGCCCATCATGATTAGATTTCTATTAGATGAATTTGAAAGTATATCCTTTCAAATAGAAAAAAAAGAGTTTTTTAATTCGTTTTTTAATTAACGGAGTTATCAGGCAACAAACATAAAATAATACAAACGAATTGAAAAGCTTTTTTGAAGTTGGTTGAAAATAAATTACAACAAAATAAAATTATAAATAACAAATGAAAATAAAAAAAAAGTACAATTAAATTGAACAATCAGAATTTTCTCCGAACTAAATTAAAAACACATCGGCATCCGTTTCAATTTAAAACGAGCACCTCATTTCAATAACTATTTATTGGATTGAATGGTGTCAGTTACCATCGACTGTCATAATATACGTTGTTTGGACCGCGGCAAGTCTAATGCCGTTATCTTATACAGTCCATTGTTATTTAAAGATAACGGTCATTATCAATGGCCTAATGATGTATATATATATATATATATATATATATATATATATATATATATATATATATATATATATATATATATATATATATATATATATTCCAGAGGAAGACTTTGTACAAAAGTCGATTGCTTGAATACCTCTGTCCCATTCGTGTTTCAATCGTGAAGCAGTTGTGTTGGCATGACTGTGTTTCGGTTTAAAGGATGAGATATGGCGTGAATTTACTGGGTACAGAGGAATAACACCTGAGTCCTCAGGAATGGCAATGCATGGGGGGTATCATGGGCGAAACAGTATACTCTGTTATATCCGTGGTACTGCTCATGTCTATAGGCGACGGTTACCACTTTGCATAAAAAAAAGGTAATATCTAAGATTTTTTTTCAATGGACAATGGAATGGTAACCCCGCCTTCGCTATCGGTATACGCTGGCGGGTACCAGTGAGAGGTAATAGATGAGCATGAAAGCAGGTCAGTTAGTCCATCGTGATGAATGCGACATGCGTATTAATCACAATGGTTTCCAGGGGGAATCGCGTGGAGGTGAACCTGACAGGGTTTGTTAGCAATGGGGGTATTTAGTCCCCATCACTAACAATCCCTTTCCCTTCTAATTTAAGGTTGTGTTCCACAACAAATATCGTCTTTAATCTTGGTAAAACCAGTGATTTAGATACAAAAAGTTACTGAATCGATTTTGCTAAAATTTCTACGAGATCAATTTGAAAGTATATCCTTTCACATGAAAAAGGTTACCACTTTCCATCGGGTGGGCCGTCAGCTTGTTTGCCGACGAAACAAAAAAAAAAAAACTATAGAATCGAGTAAGGTATGCTCGCTAGGGGTGGGTAATGTAAAGCAATATCTATATATTTTAGTAACAGTATATATATATATATATATATATATATATATATATATATATATATATATATATATATATATATATATATATATATATATATATATATATATATATATATCAGTCCAATAACGATTATGTTAAAGGTCTGTTATTCAAAAAATAATATTGGATAACAACGTCAGGGGTGTTCTTTTCTAGAAATCTGTCCGACTCTAGAATAAAGGCATACGGGTATGCGATCCCGGCCTCCCGGCCGCTGCAGTGTCCCAGTCCTTTCCGCAACTGCTGTGTCCCCCCCCCCCCCTTTCCTTTCCCACATAAGTCCCTTATTCCCCAATTTCCTTTACACATTTCCAACGTTCCCCTCCTTTTTTCCCAATCCTTTCCTCCGTACCGTAGGCGGCGGAAACCACCAACAAATGCATTCCCAAAGAGGGTTGACGTCAGGCAGGTGGCCGGTCGTAAAACTAAAAACCAAATCTTTTTGTATTATGGATAAAATCTTATTACGCCGACCCCAAATGATTGGGATAAGGGTAGGAAGATGATGATGACTTTTAAAATATTCGAAAATAGATATCCGATCGATACGGGCGATATTGAAACCTTTTTTCCACCGTCAATGTCCAGAGTATATATAATAATAATAATATACTTTATTATTCAGACCACAATGTGGTCCATTTTGTTAGTAACAATTTTCTTACAAACTATGTTAGTAAAAAAGAAAAGCAAATTGATTTAATTAAGCAGTTCACCCAGATGTGAGCCAGCCGACTAGATCAGCATCTGAATGAAATGCCCAATTATAGGCGAGTTATATTTCTCACCTATTACTTTTAGAATGCTGATGGTGCTTGCCCTAACCCTGTGTAGCGGGGGGAAAGGGATTGTTAGTAATGGGTTCTAATAACCCTATTGTTAGCAATATATCCTATCAGGTTGACCTCCACGCGGTTCCCACTGGAAACCATCATGGTTCATTCTTGTTGAACTCTTCATGATGGGCCAACTGACCTGCCTTCATCCTCACTAATCATCTATCACTGGTGCCCCGCCAGCGAATCCCGTTAGCGCAGGCGGGGTTACCATTCCATTTTCTGTGTAGCAATGATGCAGTCCTCTTTCTCCTTATAGCGTAGTAGTCATCTACGCGAGATTGAGCAAACATGCTGGAGGCGCTACAAAAGCGAGGTAGTCCCAACAGCGCTCTAAAATATAGATATTAGATCCGTATTACCTACCCATGCCTAGTGCTCACTAACTGCTTGTATAAAAAAAAAAGTTGAAAGTATAAAAATATAATAAATCAACGATATAATCAAGAGGTACGTATGGTTCACAGTTACAGTGGTTTGTTCGTGCTTTCACTGAATGTAGGTACTATTATATTGTGTACTAATGCCTTGGCAACCGTTCGCATGCTACAACATTGCGGCTTCAACTTTGCAGTCGTTTCTTATACTTGACAATAATTATGCATGCTTCATTGAATTGTGGTATTGCTTGGATATTTATAAGTCATTTCAGTATTATTTTTAAAATTTATGTTCTTTTTTTGAACAATGTCTATGTATAATGGGAATTTTATGAATCTATTGCGTTTGTTGTTTCCGACAATTGTTGCGACAATCCGGAAGGCTTCCTATAGGGGGAGTTGGTACAACGCTTTGCGTCATAATCTCTCGAATCGCATTGCGCGCTGCAGCACGCAGAGCTCGTGAAGACATCGCGGTCGGTTCGAACGGGCTTCATAAGATTTCCATTTATACATGTATATAAACAATATATTTGTATATTTAGGTTCGAAAATGAATGAAACTTGGATTAAAAAAATTAACTATGTTTATTATTCAATGTGTTTTATATAAATAATAAACATATATTTTTTTTTAAATGTATAAGTAAGTTTATAATAATGATATAAGTTTTTCAAATTAAGAACAAGTTTTAAACACAAGAAACCTGAGCCTCGAATAGAAAAAAAAAGTGCAGAATATATAATTTCTATTTTTTTTTGTTATTAATAGTTAAGAATATTGTTAAGAATAATGTTTTAAATAAACATTGCATTTTATATAATACATTTTGTTTATTTCGAGTATTTGCATTTTAAGGGAAACGAAAGACCAACTTTTTTTTATTTTAACTTATGCTGAATTTCAACGTAAATTATAAAAACAAACTATTAGGTTTTAATTAAAAAGAATACATTTAAAAATGAAGTGTTTTTGAAGACACTCTATATAGATATATTTTATCTATGGTAAAATTATATAACATATTACAGTTGTATTTCGCGCTTTGTCTGTGGTCGTGTCATGATGTCGAATAGCCTATAACCTTCCTCTAGACATGAGCTATCAAATGCGAAAAGAATTTTTAAAATCTGACTGGTACTTAAAAATAATTAGCGAACTGAGATGGACTAACTAAACTAAGCGCTTAATAATTATACCTAATCTTTTTACTTTATTTCTTATACCTGTTTACCTAGATAGTAATAATAAAAAAGTAATTTATCTACCAATCACTTTTGGCGCGAAACTACAATCTCTCTAGACACTTGCACAAACGATGTTGTCTAACAAATTAGTGCCAAAGATTACTTTGATTGCAAATAAATTGCAAGACACAAAAAGATAAAATCATTGCTACAGATTTGTTTCTATTTCGTTTGGTTTCCCAGTTTTTATATACTAAATCAATAATGATTGATTCACACTGACAGGAACTCGAGGGAAATATCTAATAAAGAAGTTTACCTCCAATTTTTACAGATAAGGGCGCCACTGTGTTATAACGTCAATAAACATTAACTCTATATTTCAATCTATAGTCATAGAGAACTAATATATTTTATTTTTTCCGCTGTTATGAATTTTTTAATGTCACTCTTTGATAATAGACTTCTCAGTGGCGCCATCTTCGCATAGCTTTACGTTTGTATCCTTGTTTAAATTGTTAAAAAGCATATGTAGAACGTAGTGTACCTATTAAATATTATTAAGTGACAAATATACTTCGACGCTTTTGAGGCTCAAAGACACAAAATACATCTAGGTGCTAACGAATTTCAAGGGTAATAAACGTCGCGAATAGGCATTGTTTAAAAAAAAAAACTCTAATTTTAATAGAACTCAATTTTTAATCCCAGTATTTGACAATGATATTGTAAAACAAATATTATAGATATATTCTGATGTGAATATTTTTATATTTACAGAACTTATAAATTATACACAACCGGTGTACGTGTGGAGAGATGATCCAAATTCCCGGCAGAATACCATCAAGGAGATAATCGAGAGGGCTACCTCTAAAGAAGACTGGCCTCAGGTTTGTACTTATTGGGATTTTTTTAAATTAATTTAGGTTAACAATAGTAGCATTTAAAATTTTTATTAAATACAGGCAGGCATAATACCTTAGTCCTTTTTTTTAAGTAGGTGATAATGAAATGGTAACCCTGCCTGTGCTATCGGTATACGTTGGCGGGGCACCAGTGAGGGATGATAGGTGATGATGAAAGCTAGTCAGTTAGCCCATCGTGACGAATTTCACTAGAATTAACCACGATGGTTTCCAGAGGGAACCACGTCGAGGTCGACCTGATAGGATGTATTGCTAGCAATAGGTCAGTTAGACCTCATTACTAACAATCCCTTTCTCCCTCCACCTTAACCCTTAGGAATGACAACGCATGAAGGGTATCATGGGTAGCAATGTATACTCTGTTATATTCATGGTACTGTTCATGTCTATAGGCGACAGTTACTACTTCCCAACAAGTGGGCCATCAGCTTGTTTGCCATTCTAAGTTGCATAAAAAGGTATAAGTACTTTTATTTCTAAAGTCTACTGCTGTCACTGTGAAATATTCAAGATTTTTTTATTCAAATTTCATTCGCGCTCTAGAAGTAGAGAGCCATTAATTAAGTGGATGGCGGTGAGTTAATTAAAAACAACACAAATACAACAGTTTGACTCAGTATAATGACGAGCTATGAGAATTATCGATGATTCCAGGCTTACAAGCGGTAGTGGTAACCCTGAAATCTTAGAAGAGATTTTACCTAACTCTGCGTGTTCTACCGCTTGTACGACTGTGCTCAGAGGAATTGTTCAATATGATGCCATAGACAGGGAGTTCACCCTCACACCTTAAAGCCTGGATGGTCGTGTACAACGTGGTTTCAGAAATGTTTTCTCCCACGAACACGTTATGGAATGAACTCCCTGTTTCTAACAGGCTACAATATTAGGTTCTTCAAAAAGGGGTAAAGAAGTTCTGGGTTAGCAACACGTATGTAATGCCTCTGGTATTGCAGGCGTTCATAGGCTACGGTAACTGCTTACAATCCGGTGGCCCGTATACTTGTTTGCCACCTCAGTGGTATAAAAAATAAATAACGGATTAATAATAATTCGACCTTGTAAAGAGGTCCGATAGTGTTGAATCACGTCGTATTTTGATGTTCGATTAACTGGTATGATATCTGTTGGATCGCCGTTTGAGTCATTCGAGTGAGACAAAAAAGTCCGCGGCGTGGGCAGGCGGTTTTTGTCAATCACTTTTGTAACAGATGTGCATAACACAGTGTACAGGGGGAAAGGATTGTTAGTAATGCGGGCTACTAACAATATACCGTATCAGATTGATCTTCTTGTGGTCCCCCCTGGAAATGACCATGCAGAACTCCAAATGTATTCATATTCGATGGGCTAACTGACCTGCCTTTTCATTCTCACCTATCATCCATCATTCGTGCTCCGCCAGCGTATACCGTTAGCGCAGGTGGGGCTACCATTTTATTATTATTCATTAAAAAACAGCGTACACGCCTCACAACGGATTTTTTTGCTCTGTACTACGTATATTAAACTTTGAGTTTAAGCAACTAACAACCAGCTTAGGCTTCGCATCGTTTTTTTTTAAATAAAATACTAATGAAGTAGTTTTCAATAGGTTATACTTTTTTTTTTAGTTTAATATATTACAAACAAGAAATTATGTTTAATTTTTATTCGATGTCTGTATGCATATGTAAGTAATTTATTACTGGTTTAATTAATTTCCCGTTACATATGTAACAAATGTGTAGACAAAAAATCAAATCTTTCTTTACGCGAATCGATCTATAGATGTATATCATCACGATTTCAGCCTTTAACTGTCCACTGTTGAACTTAAGCCTTCCCCTTAGGGAGTTTTGCAAGTAGTTGCCACGCTTGATGATAATGGAATGGCAACCCCGGTTGCGCTGACGGTAAACGCTGGTTGGGCACCAGTGAGGGATCATAGGCGTGAATGAAAAGACAGGTCAGGACAGCCCATCGTGACTAATACATTTTTTTTATACAACTTAGAATGGCAAACAAGCTGACGGCCCACCTGATGGAAAGTGGTAACCGTCGCCTATAGACATGAGCAGTACCATGGACATAACAGAGTATACTGTTTCGCCCATGATACCCCCTGCGTTGCCATTTCTGAAGACTCAGGTGTTATTCCTCTGTACCCTGTAAATTCATGCCATATCCTACTCTTCAAACCGAAACACAGCCATGCAAACACAACTGCTTTACGGTTGTAAACTGAATGCAACAGAGGTATCCAATCAAATGACTTTTGTACAAAGTCTTCCTCTGATTTAGCGTATGGTAATAATGAAGAGTAAACGGTAATGAATTATGAGGATTACAGTATATATTTAAATGCAGATGGCCAACAGTAATAGCCGGTTAGCGTCTTGTCATTGCATTCAAGGTGAATAACGCATGGCATAACGACTACATATACAAAATATTTGATTTGTTTTTAATATTTTCCTATTTGACCCTAAAAAGCACATATTTTCTTTATAAAGAAGAACTTTGACCTTTAACATTGATAGTTGGTACTCACATTTAAAAAAAGTTATTTTATTTTTCATGTTAATTAAACTTTTTCTTTTAGCTGTCTAGTAACTAACGTTGAACTTTATGCGTCTATGACTGCTTTTACATGTTCGACGCAGGAACTGGCTGCCGTTCTTCTTTTAAATTGTATATTCCTTTTTCAAAATTTACGAGTTAAACTCCCGCCAAGTATGCATATACTTAAAAAGCTATAGCCAAAGAAAAAAGAAATAATAAATATATTAGGCAAATGTAATGTTATCAAAATGTCACGCAAACTCTGGAGAATGAACCTTTTATATTTAAACTAACTTTAAAAATAAAGAGCTTCTCAATTCGGTTGTATTTTTTTTTATGTTTGTTACTTCATAACTCCTTTCATTCTAAACTAATTTGGAAATTTTATTTTTTTATCTGACAGGATATACTTATAGATGGGTCCCATAGACATTTTATTAAAATCTTTAGTTTTAAAATCAACATAAGTGGTTATGTCACAAATGATCAGAGGGAGACTTTGTACAAAAGTCGATTGCTTGGGTATCTCTGTCCCATTCGTGTTTCAACCGTAAAACAGTTGCGTTTGCATGGCTGTGTTTCGGTTTGAAGGGTGGGATATGGCGTGAATTTACTGGGTACAGAGGAATAACACCTGATTCCTCAGGAATGGCAACGCATGGGTGGTATCATGGGCGAAACAGTATACTCTGTTATGTCTATGGCACTGCTCATGTCTATAGGCGACGGTTACCACTTTCTGTAGGTGAGCCGTCAGCTTGTTTGCCATTCTAAGTTGTATAAAAAAAATTAAATTTAGTTTTTTTTTTTTATGGGACACAATATCTATTTATTTGTTATAGATTTTAATTAAGCTCAGCATCTATGCGCACTTGGAAAATCAATCATTAACAGTAACAGTCATCGCCTGGCCAACAAATGCTTAGGTACCTACTACCGTTATTTTTTTAATCATCGTGCACAAAAACAGTAACAGCTGTGATGATTTTGATGATTTGTGACTAGCACGTAGAATAATAACGGTATGTTTTGGTCTATGAAGCAGTTAGATTAATGACTTACAATTGATACTGAATCTGATATTTGAATTCATCTTTGTATCTTCTATGTAAATTAAAACGTAAATTGGACTTTATTTTGTTTATATTTACCGAGTAAATTAGCTTGACAGTTTCCCAATTCGCTTATTTAGCATTTATAATACCTATATAAAAACATAATAATATTTATTTATGGAACTTTACCTGAACAATTTGTTTTTTTTTTATACAACTTAGAATGGCAAACAAGCTGACGGCCCACCTGATGGAAAGTGGTAACCGTCGCTCCTGTTTCGCCTATTATATTCCCCACGCGTTGCCATTCCTGAGGACTCAGGTGTTATTCCTCTGTACCCTGTAAATTCACGCCATATCCTACCCTTCAAACCGAAACACAGCCATGCAAACACAACTGCTTCACGGTTGAAACACGAATGTGACAGAGGTACCCAAGCAATCGACTTTTCCTCTCCCTCTGGTAACATATTCGTTATTAGCCCAATATATAGATATTGTAACTGAATCCCCCCCCCCCCCCAGGAGTAAGATGTTATGTCTCTGTATACAGTAAATTAACTGCTATATCCTACCCTTCAAACCGAAATACAGTCATGAAAACACAACTACTTCACGCTTGAAACATGAATGGTACTTAATCAAACGACTTTTGCACAAAGTCTTCCTCTGGTAGACAATTCTGTACCACTTCCCCTACTTCTCATTTTCAGGTGCTTATATTCCCCGAGGGTACGTGCACAAATCGCTCCTGCCTGATCACGTTCAAGCCTGGAGGGTTCTACCCTGGAGTGCCGGTTCAGCCTGTCATCATTAGGTATCCCAACGCGATGGACACCGTTACCTGGACCTGGGAGGGACCTGGCGCGTGAGTATCATCATCATCATCATACCAGCTGTTAATTGCCACTGCTGATCTTCCTCTAGAAGGAGGCTTATGTTCAGCAGTGGACAGAGAACGGTTGATATAAAAGTAAAACCATATATAAATAAAATAAAACGTTAAATGTATTTCTAACCTCAAAACTCAAAGACAGATAGACCATTTCGACCAATAAAGACTCAAATTGTTTAGATTATAAAAAAGGATAGGAAACTTTGATAGCGGCTTTTTAACTATATTTATTTATTTAAATAACTTTATTGATCAAAAGAAAATATGGTACAGAAGTCGGACTTAATGCTAGTAGCATTCAGTACCAGTCAACCTTTAGGATGAACAGTGAATTTCGAACGCTCTATTTCAATATTGGGATAGCTAAAGAAAAATAACATATATATATAGATTAGAAACAATAGCAAAATCAAATGCAGTAATTTCGTAGGTCCATCTTTCCAAGTTCAAGAAGTTTTAATAAATTAATTTGAGGAGTATTTGATTGTTTACTAAACGCGATTTATTTCATTAAGCTGGCATTTTTGGTTTCCAAGATTTATAGGTTTCTTTTAGTGACCCGCATTCATTGCTCACGAGTTTATATATATTTGGTTGCTACTTTTCATCAGGTGGGCCGTTAGCTTGTTTGCCATACCGAGTTGTGTAAAAATATGATATTTCTATATTGCAGGTTGAAGCTTCTGTGGTTGACGCTCACTCAAGTGCACAGCTCGTGCGAGATAGAATTTCTGCCCGTTTACTACCCTAATGAGATGGAGAAGAGAGACCCTAAACTGTACGCGAGGAACGTGAGAGATGTCATGGCTAAGTAAGTATTATTTACGTATATCTCCTTTACAAAGGCATAATGTATCAGGGTAGAGTACATCTCCTTTTTTATACCACAAAGGTGGCAAACAATCATACAGTATATGTGACTATCTTTTACTCGCGACTTCGTTCGCGTGACCGGAATATATTCATTGATCGGGATAGTCTATATCCTTCTTTATCCCATATATCGTCACAGTCGTAGAATACTGACGGATCTTTATATGTAATCTTTGTCAGATCCGTCAGTATTCTACGACTATGACGATATGTTACGTGTATACCAAATTTTATAGTGATTTCTTTCTATACCACGAAGGTGGCAAACAATTATACAGCCTAGTTATTAGGATAGTAAGTAATGAGACTAAATGGACTTAAAATCAATTTAGTGGTCGTGGGATAGACAGGAGCATCCCTCTTAAAAGAATAGCAAAAGCCTTTGGTAATGTTTGAACTTTGGTTGTCAACCCGCCTATCAAGCTTCCCAACTATTGGCAAAACCTCTCTTATGGGGAAGCCCTATGTTCAATAGTGGACAGTGGACGGCTGAAATGAAGATGATGAAGTAAGAAAACATGTAGAAATAAGTTAATAATAATAGAAGTTTTATTAAAAATAACTTTAAATGTTTACAATTTTAGAGGTCTGGATAATAACTGTATCGCGAACGATTATGTTGGCGAGCAGCTAATCTAGGCTGTTTTCCTTGCACGAAGAGAATTTCCTCCATTTTTGAAACCCTTATGGGTTGTTTATTATGAATACAGATAGATCAGGACCGAAGCCAGATCTATGTTTAAGGTAGGGCAAAAGAACTTTTTGGTTGGGCAGAAGTCATAATTTAGTGAATTCGAAAAAGTGAGTTTTCTTGGGGCCTTTCATTTAAAGGTAGGGCATTGCCCGTTAATACCCCCCTCCACCCCTAGCTGTGGCAATAAGATAGATACTCGTCATTGTTTCGTCCAAAATATTAAAATATTAAACTTATTATAGATACAAATAATTATAAGAAATATATACTTATTACCTACTAATTATGTATGTAATATATTCGTATTACAGAGCACTCGGCGTCCCAGTATTGGACTACACATACGACGACTGCCGCCTCATTGCGCGAGCCAAGCACCTCGGGATTCCCGGTGCACCCGCTGCCAGGGAAGTCAGCGAGCTCCGCGCACAATTGGGGTGAGACTGAAAAGAAACATTTTAAAACGTGTTTTAAATTTATGAATATTTATTTATTCATAGGAAAACCAGGGCTACACTAAATAAAAAAAAGATACAGTTTAAGATCACAAAATAAGCCACTAATAGGTTTTCACAAGTAGCAACAATATAGATACAAGGCGTTGTACACAAAGCAACGAAAATAGGAGTTAACAATAATAAATGAACAAACAAAAGGAAGGAAAACAAAAAAAAGAAAGATGAATAAAATACAAAGTAAAAATTAATTGCAAGTATTTGATTAAAATATGGCCTTCTTATCCATACAATAGTTATTCAAACTGACTATGAATAAAAAAATTGCCTACTCAGTTGGTCTCTCAATGATATTATATTTTTCGAAAATAGATCTATATTAAGACTTTCAGAAATAGTATTAAAGTTGTTGCTAGCTCACCAAAGGAACGAAATGAAATATAAAAAAAATAATATTTATTTACACTTATCGCAAAATGTGCGTGAACAAAATGACACTCGGAAATTGACGGCTAATATGGAAGGTTGTGGAGCTTCTGGTAGTAATAGTGGTGGTCAATCTTCGAGTGTTGGTAGTCACATACATACTAATGGTAGCGGAATTAAACAAAATAATTCTGAAGAACTAGTACTCAGTACTTGTTTGATCTTTGACAGCAGATCCGCGTCCGTTAAAGGACGGAAGATTAGCACGTTTCTTTTGTGACACGCCATGTTCAGCAGACAATTCGCTTTGCAAGGTTTATGCCTGAATACGTCTAAATTATGTCGTTTGCTTAGATTATATAGATACAGTGTCTCTATACAAATGCTTCGTAAAAACCGGGTCATATTTTTCATACACTTTTGCGTGAAAAATAGTTATGAGTGTTTCCTTTATAACTTCTATATTTATTTTGTTTTATATTTTTTGCATGTTTTTAATGCGTAAACACTCATTTTATTTATTAAATAATAAGTCAAGATACATTGTTTGCGTAGAATACTGATAAAAAAATGAGTCAGCTAATTTGACAATTAGTTGACAAAAAGTTGACCCATTTTAAGGACTTGATGCTGTATTTATACCTACTCCAGCCATAAGTTCTGTTACAAATAAAAATGCATTTTTTTTTGAAGTAATGTAATATTACTAAAAATTATACCTACATATTTATTAAAGTCTTAGAAAAAAATAAAAAAATATTCTATTCTAAATCACCTTTGGCTTTTATACAGGCTTTTAATCTGTTTGGCCACGAATCTATGGATTTCCGCACTGTTTCCAAGGGAAATTTCGCCACTGCTTGCTCCAAAGGTTTTCTAAGAGACTCAATGTCATCGTGTCGTTTAGAACAGGCCATGTCCTCTAAAACTGACCATAATTTGCAATCCAAGGGGTTCGACGAATTCTGACTTTAACAGCATTAACAGTCTTTATAGTTCTAACAATACGCGGCCGTCTCAATCTTTTCTGGTTTTCGACATAGGAAGTCTTGTATCTGTTGATAGTACGTTATACGACGATACGGCTGATACCAAGCTTTAAAAGTGTCTGGAGTATAACCAATGGCTCCATACCCACTTTGTGCAAGGCGATCAATGCGATTGAATAAGATTTTATTTTCTTTAACACACCATTACATATTGTAATTTGATAATAAATACGAAAAAATATATAAAAAGGCGCGAAATTGAAAGAAGTTTTTAAAATAATAAACGTATTCCAAATTTAAAATAATTAAAAACTTGAAAAAAAAGAAAAATTTTTATGTAACAGTATTTATGGCCAGGGCCTCTAGACAAGTGGCAAGCGAATTCGTCGATGGAATCGACATCGCTAGCGTGTCCGTGAGATAGAATGAGATAGCAACGCCGGATGACTCATTCCAACTCACGGACTCGTTAGCGAAGTCGATTCCATCGACGAATTCGCTTGCCATTTGTCTAGAGGCTCAGACTAGTTATAATGTAAGGTCGTTGTCGTTGTGCAGGTTGTCGCAGTCGCAGCCCGAGCTGCAGGCGCGGTGCGGCGGGCTGGCGGGCGAGTGGGTGGCGCGCGAGCAGTTCGTGCAGCGGCTCGCCGCGCCCGCCGCTGCGCACGCGCACGCTCACCGCCTCTTCGACATATTCCAGCAGGTGAACTCACATAGATTTTTTATACAACGCAGGGGGCAAACGAACATGCGGCTCACCTGATGGTAAGTGACTACCGCCGCCCATGATCACTCACCACACCAACGGCATTGCAGGTGTGCTGCCGGCCTTTTAAAAAGGAATATGCTTTATTCTTGAAAGTTATGATATCGTATCAGTTCGGAAATATATTCTTTATTGCACTTGAACAATACATGTAGCGATTAGTTTAACAACTTGTTAGCAAGGGAGGGCTTATCTCTGAAAGAGATCCCTTCCAGCCAACCCAGTGTGGTTAGGGAGAAAATAATTTGGGTAATCCAGTGCAGAAAAGGTACCATAACACAAATTATGAATAAATAAATAAATAAAAATAAATACGTAAATAGATAAATATATATACATACGTATAAGTGCATAGAAATATCATATTGGTTAAAAGGTGTGATTCTGGAAGTTGATTCCAAAGAGTGGTAGTGCGTGGAAGAAAGTGCCTTAAAAAACACACGTTGGACGATCGACACTTTTTAATGATAACCACTTTCAATTGCCACCTCTAATTTTTGTCGCACTAAGTGGTTGTACTTATACACCCATCTCCCTAGTTCGAACCCTGCCTGGTAAAATTATATTAATAAAACTTTGTGCCCTGCAGCGAGGCAGCGGGCTGGTGCGCTGGTCGGACTACTTGCTGTGTGCTGCGTTCCTCTCGCTGCAACACGCGCCCCTACACCACCTCGTCTGCATAGCTTTCAAGGTAAATTTTTTCATTACCATTATATCTCTGTCACTGTCCACTGCTGGTCATAGGCCTCCCACATAGACTGCCATAAGGAACAGCCACTTGCATCCACTGATTCTCTGCAATGCATTGAAGGTTATCACTCTAACTAGGGGGGGGGGGAGGGGGGTCGTCCTAGACTATATTTGCCCGTACAGGGTCGTCATTCAAGAACTTTTCTCCCCCATCGGTTGTCGGTTCTTCGGACATTATGACCAGCCCATTGCCACTTCAGCTTGCTTATCCTTAGGGCTACGTCGGTTACTTTGGTTCTTTTGCGGATATCCTCGTTACGGTTTCTATCATGCAAAGAAACTTCTAGTATAGCGCTCTCCATAACACACTAAGTAATTTGAAGGAGTAATAATAATTTATTGAGCAAACACAAAAGAGGATTCATACAAACTAACTTCATGTATGACAAAAGTACATTATTAATGGACGATAATGGAATTGTAATCCAGGTGGAGTTACAATTCGAGACTTATAGACGTGAGTTAATTCAGTAAAGAAATTGGCAGGATAGGGAATAGAACTCGGGATCTTGTTTACGACAAAGCACTGTGCTACAGAAGGCGTCAAAAACACAACGTCATGATCTGCGACTTTGTTCGCATGATCAGTAGGTATATAATTATTGACCAAGATAAAAAGTATCTTATATCAAGGATATAAGAAACATTTTATCTCGGCCAATATATATACTATTTGGGAAAGGGAAGGTCCGTTCTAAATACTTATGTATACAAAATTTCATAAGGGTTGGTTCAGCCTTAAAAATGTCAAGGAGTAACCAAGAATAAACTGGTTTTCTCATTTGTGAGAGGTTAGTTACGCCCTCTAGTGGCAAGAGTTTCTAGGCCATCTTCGTTGAGCAGCAAGATTTCTGTTCAGTCAATTCATCATTGTGACCACCCATAATTTCAGCTGTACGACAGCAGCGGTATAGGGCGAGTGAGCCAGGCTAACTTCGAGGAGCTGGCGACCAAGTGCCTGGGCATGTGTCAGGAGGACGCGCACCACGTGTTCCGGCAGGCCGACTTCGACGAGAAGGGATACATTACATATGGTGAGCTCTCGCTGTAGTATTTCTGTCTAGCTATAATACATGACTTAGGTCGTTTACATTTTTAATGGGTTATAATGGTATGGTAAACCTGGCCATTGACGGGACACCAGTGATTGAGGATAGGTGAGTCCGGTCAGTTGACCTATCTTGATGAAATCAGCAAGAATTAACAGCAATGGTTACTAGGGAGATCGCACAGAGGTCGACCTGATAGAACATATTGCTAGCAATAAGGCCGTTGCTGTGTGTGCCCCGGTATAGAATGGGCCACCCCTCCTTTTCCTGTGGATGTCGTAAGAGGAAAGGGAGGGCGAGCGATGGGCAGCAGCGTTCCTCATAAAACATTTGTGAAAGCCTAACTGCGGTTGCCAATTCGCCTGCCAAGCGTGGCAACTATAGGCAAACCTCTCCTTATGGGGAAAGGTTTATGTCCAGCTGTGGACAGTTAACAGTTTAAAATGCTTTTAGACAACTGACTACCTTTCCTGTCAGTTGTCGGAGACATGAAATAACCCTTCTTAATACAATCTGTCCACAGACGAGTTTATATCATACGCACAGAAGAGACCGGAGTTGTCTTTCATATTCGCCAGTGACACGGCGCAGCAAAAACCCAAGAGTCAGTGAGGGTTGCCCACGTGCAGCCCACGTGCGGCCCACGTACACCCCACGTGCGACCCACGTGCCGACCACGTGCTATTAGAATTCCCACGTTAGTATAATCAAGATCAGTATTCGACAACTAGTGCTGTGCTTGATAATGTGAAAGACAATTTGAGTACTCAATGAATTTATGTAACAAATGTTAGTTTACATCGACACGGTTAGTCACGTCAAATAGTGAACGTAGTCATGGCAAATAGTGACGGCCAAGTTTTGTTTCTTTGAAGTGATTTTTTTTAATGGACGATAATGGAATGGTAACCCCACCCGCGCTATCGGTATACACCGGCGGGGCATCAGTGAAGGATGATAGGTGAGTATGAAGCAGGTTAGTTAGCCCATCGTGACGAATACAACAAGAATTGTTCACGATGGTTTCCAGGGGAACCACGCGGAGGTTGACCTGATAAGGCATATTGCTAGCAATGGGGCTGTCAAACCCCATTGCTAACAATCCCTTTCCCCCCAACGTCATTGAAGTGTTAAAATGATCAAAATACAATTATTAATAAGTAATTATTATTCTAGTAAAAAAAAAAAATTAGTTTAGTATAAGTTAATTCTTGTAGCAGCATACTGGGATATCCTAGCTTGATAGCCAGGATATTAGTGATATTTTTTCATTATTTTTAGCCACCATTTTGTTATGTGAACCAATTTATGTATATATTCTTATGGCAACTTCGTATTTTATTATAATAGTGTCAATGTGACTTGAAATATGAAAATATGTGTAATAATATTGATTCGAGATTTGTATATTTGATGGGTGAAAATGGTATGGTAACCCCGCCTGCGCTAACGGGATACGCTGGCGGAGCACCAGTGAAGGGTGATAGATGAGAATGAAAACAGGACAGTTAGCCCAAATTCATCAAAAATTAACCATGATAGTTTCCAGGGGGAACCGCGAGGAGGTCGACCTGGTTGGGTATATTGCTAGCAATGGGATTCTCAGTCTCCATTACTAACAATCCGTTTCCCCCCAGATTTGTATAGTAATGTATCAGATAGTGTTACGAGTCTATTGTAAAAAAAAGCGTTAGTGATCCTTCTTTGTTACTCAAATAATTGTGTGGATTTACAATGAAATGGGACTTAATTGAAAGATCTCCTAACAGGATATTAATTTTGTTTAATTTTCTCTGAGATATTTAGGAATCGTATTTAGCAAGGAAATGTTTTTTTTATGAATTTATTTCAATTATGATTGGTGACGATTGTATTGCGAGGATTTGAATCTCAGCTATTCTAGTTTCTTTATGACCAGAGGGCCTACCATGAAGTATTTTCCGAAATTTCGGGGACGAACGAAACAGAAATTTGATGTTAAATTTACATAATATATGCTGTTTAAAATTATTAAAAATGTTAAAATATCGTTCCTTTGGACTATTAGGATAGGATTTATGATGAACGAAATGTTAAGCTCCATTTACTGGGTCGATTTTGATACGAACAAAAACACGAAATTGAGCCCGAAATTTCGGAATTTCATTTCATGGTAGACCACCTGATTCTAATAATATGTATGTATGTGTTGTAATGTATTATGTATTTGTTGGTAAGCGTGTTGAGTCTCCCATCCGAGAAATAGGTATTGGCGACCCGCACGCATGCTAAAGGTAAAGGAGTTAAGGGGCCGCGTGAAAATCAGCGCTGTGTATAGGTACATCTCACTGGAGCTGTACATATATAGCAACAGCTGAGGCGGCTCCTATTACCAGCAACATTAATTTTTTTTTCTTTTTGTTGTTTTAATATTTATTTTCTTAATAATGGTAATAAAGGTCATCTATCTATCTATCTATCTATATGTCATGTCCAGTGAAAGGATTTTGTGAGAATGACGGAAGAGGATTTGTCAGCAATTTAAATTTTAAATAACAAATAAGCACTATCTAGACAGTTAATAAATTACCTAAGAAATTCTATACAGCCTCGCCAGGCAATCTATTAATACAGAACAAGACGCTGGACGTCACTGTCTCATTTTATTGTGTATGCGGTAGCGATAACGTTTATATCGATATGTTTCTTTGCCGCTTCTTTTAGTGGAGGCTGACTAAATTTGCCGTAAATTTGGGAAATATTAAAGCCATACACTATTGCGATTGCAAAGCCTATCTAAGGATTATCTTAAGTCACGAGTTTCGCCAAACATATGTCTTTACGCTAAGTCCCCTACGGAGTAAGTAGAGAGAACCGTGTAAATCTCAAAAGGTTGGTTAAACTCCGATGCGAAGAGATGTTAGGAATCTTTATGTGTATCTGTCTGTAAAACCGTAGCTCATAAAAGGATAAACTCATTTTAATATTCTATTTTTCTATAAATATGATGTGTAAAATAGATTACTTTCAGTAGCTAGAATCGAAGGCATTTAGTTTAATATTATAGCAAATACAACGAGTTTAGACTCAGATGGTGTGTATAGGTGTAGATATACCATATTTGATAGATTTCGAATGAAAAGTAGATCGTCAGAGGGTAAGTGAAATAAAATTTTAAAATTTTGTACTTATGGTGTTTCTACTATTGATATCGACATTGAAATTTGTATGTAGGATTATTTATTTTAGCGCTTAATAAGCCATTTGGAATGTGATAATTTTAAGCTCTGTTATTAGAATAAGGCAACACTGCACTGTTTGTATTGAAATTTGTGGAAATTTGAATATTTTATAATTTACAATAGCATACCACGGTATAGTATGATTTTATCGTCACGATATAATTATCGTCGATGTCCCTAGTACAGTTTTGTGCACGTTGCTTTACGTAAATTAGTTCTCAAGTGTAATTTCCGGTCAGGGCAATTTAGAAAACAAACTTTTTTGAATTAGCTCGGACCTGGGTGTTCTGGGTACCCCCAGATATTTGTTGGTTCCTCATAACACAGGGTATCCTAGTTTGAAAACCATACAGTTTGTATGATTGTGTGGTATTTATTATAAAAAGAGACCAAAATATACGAAATTGTATAAGAGCTTTTAATTTTTCGTTATAATATCATAAACGTACACAAAAAATTAAGTATCTCCATGAATTTTAATTTTACTTATCTATTGTATTATATCGTGTCGCTAAAATCATGCCATACCATACTGTGCTATGGCAAATTTAAAAAAAGCAATTAATTTAATTAATTGAGATTACTATTCGTAATATAATATGTAAATAATTAGTGTCCTAATTTATTAAGTCAATTGAGGCAATTATGAATATTTGTATTGTTATATTTTAAATGTAATATTTCCTGTTTTAGTTATAAGTCTTCCTATAGGATTTTGTTATTTGTTTCATAAATTAAAATATTTTTATATTTTTAAATCTAACATATATATATATATATATATATATATATATATATATATATATATATATATATATATATATATATATATATATATATATATATATATATATATATATATATATATATATATATATATATATATATATATATATATATAAAATCACCATAATACATAGTTTATGTTTAATGCATTCTGATTCTTCCATTTTCATTTCCATGCTTTTTGCGATATAAATTTATGATGAAAGGACAAATTGTTCTTTTAAAATTTTTCATTACAAGCAAATTCGGCTGTTTTTTTAATTTGCTTTAATTCACATTCAATCCTAGAAATTAGGTAACTGTGCGATTATTTATACGATGTAGGAGAAATTTATATCTACAATACAAATTGCTCATATAATTTGTACGATTTATAATTTGGCAGCATTGATATTTCATATTCAGTTGGTTGGCAGTCATAAAAGATAATATGTATAACTTTTAATAGAGAAAGAGAAAAAAAAATGGCTGTGTTTCGGTTTGAAGGGTGGGATATGGCGTGAATTTACAGGGCACAGAGGAATAACACCTGAGTCCTCAGAAATGGCAATACATGGGGGTATCATGGGCGAAACAGTATACTCTCTTATGTCCATGGCACTGCTCATGTCTATAGGCGACGGTTATCACTTTCCATCAGGTGGGCCGTCAGCTTGTTCGTCATTCTAAGTTGTGTAAAAAAAATGACAGATGGTTATTTCTTGTTTCTTTATAAATTTTATAACTAAAGAATAGTGTCTGAAACTTACTTATTACCTGTCAATTAGTAAAAGGACACTATTTCATAAAATATATTTCAGCAAAAGTCTGTCTTCCTATGTCAGTCAACAATGAATATCAATACTAAATCAAAATACATCATAAGAATGCCTATGCTATGCATATTATTATAATAAATACTTTATAAAAGTACATAAACAAAGTGTAAACTAAACTATATATATATTATTTACGTAATTTTAAAATTTTGTTATCAAGCTACGTAGATTTGTACAAAGCTTTTGATTAGGTCAGTAAAATACTCTTCCGTTTTATACGGGTTTACATCTATTAGGTGTTTTTATAATTTACTACAACACGGTACGGTGTGATTATATCGTTACGATATAATACAATATATTGATGCAATATTATAATTTTCCAAAATTTATAGTTAAAAAAATAATTATAGAATAAAAATCGTACCGTGTTAGGTCGTGCTATGGTAAATTATAAAAAAAACCTATTTTAGGTTCTTACGCATTGTTACTTGTGCATAATGTTATTAAATGATTAATAAAAATAAACTTAATTTATTGGACATAAAAAAAATTTTAGCAGTAGTGATGTAAGTGTTTAAAATAAATTTTTGAAGATATCTCACGTGGCTTAATTTTAGATTAGGTGTACCTAGTTTGTACCTCTTTGTTTTGTTGTTAAATACATTCCTTTGTTATAGTAGTTTATTATTATTTATTTAATATCGATGTAAGCTTCATTAAGAAAATAAATTGGATATTACTGGAGCATTTAGTTTCATTTTGTACCAGCACTGTCATGAAAAAATAACGTTTCTCTTAAAAAAATTCTAAAGCCCTGACTGCGGTTGCCAAGCCACCTGCTAAGCGTGGCAACTGCTGGCAAAACCTCCCAAGGGGGAGATTTACCTTTAGTAGTGGACAGTTAAAGGCTGATAAGATGATGACGATGACTGTCATGAAAAGGAAACTTGAACATTACTGCCGCTTTTTCTTCATTAATTAAACCTTATTAATAGTAAAAATAATTATATAAATCGGTTTAAAATCGGCTAAGGGTTTGTGTAACTTACATAAAAAAATGTGCAGAATTTAGAAATTCTTTTTCGAAGTCCCTTAAAATTACTTATGCATTATATACATTTCAGAGACTTTATACCACAGTTGTGTGCTTTTTTGTACCTTTGTCCCATTCGCGTTTCTGCCGTGAAACAGCTCTGTTTGCATGTTCAGTTTAAAGGGTGGGATATAGCAGTAAATTCACAAAGTACAGAGAAATAACACCTGAGTCCTCAGGAATGGCAACGCATGGGGGGTATAATGAACGAAACAGTATACTGTGTTATGTCCATGATACTGCTCATGTCTATAGGCGACGGTCACCACTTTCCATCAGGTGGGTCGTTAGCTTGTTTGCCATTATTCTAAGTTGTATAAAAAAGACAAAATGGCTATCATTCTTATGATTACTACTAATACAAAGATACATCTTCATTATTGGGTGGTTAGAGTTTGAAGACGTGGAGGTATTGGCGTTGCCGTCTTAGCTTTCTGCTCTTTAATTTTTGTTAACCATTTATCATGGTACACGAATGTTTTCTCCACCAAATCCTCGACATCTACATAACAAGCTAAAATTTTTTCATACAACACCAAATACCATAAGAAATGGGTTTTATGAGGTAATTTGTCCATCGTCGCGTACATATTCTCCATTTTCATCCTTATTTGCATTAATGCACCGAACATTATTGCAATGTTGTAGCCAAAATCGTTTTTATACTTATTTCTATATGGTTTAGTCTCCAGCATGCGATATCTCGTCGAATATATGGCTTGTTTCATAAGATCGAAGGCCTTTGCTACGAAGACTTCGTTCTGTGTAAGCAATTCACGCCGGCGGTATGTCTCATTCGCATAATAAGACTTCTCAACGGTGTTTATAATCTTTCGGATGCTCTCCAAGTCCAATATGCTAATATCCAAGTGCTGTATATTTATATCGTTAGGTGGTTCAGTGTGGTTTCCAAATAAATAACTAAAAACTGAGCTCTCAAACTCTGGACGGTTTAATACTCTAGTAAGTATTTCATCTAACTCTTTTGCAAGTGGAACTACATGTGTTGCTTGGGCATTGGCAAGTGTGAGCGCTGCGAAATATTAGTGATGTTAAATTAGCAAAAAATTTTAAAAGACATATTCCTTACTAGCGGCCCGTCCCGGCATCGCACGGGTGGACATTTTTAACATTTCCCTTCACTGCTCTGCACCTATTGATCGTAGCGTGATGAAAAGTATACTATAACCTGCCCAGGAGTATAAAGAATAATTGTACCAAGTTTTAGTTTCTATAACGAACATACAGACAGATAGAAAAAAATTTACTGATTGCATTTTTGGCATCAGTATGGGTCACTAATCACCCCCTGATAGTTATTTTGGAAATATATTTCATGTACAGAATTGACATCTCTATAGATTTATTTATAAGTATAGATTTTCTGTCACACTCATGTTTTTGCTGTGAAGAATCTGTGCTTCATCATCATCAACATTGTTATCATTGTCCACTGTTGAACATAGGCTTTCCCATAAAGGGGGTTTTATCAGTAATTAAGACGCTTGCCAGGCGGGTTGGCAAGCACAGTTAGGCTTTGGAGATGTTTAAAGAGGGACGCTGTTGTCCATCCCTTGATCGTTAAAATATATATATTTTAACAATTATAGAATAATACTTTGCTGAAACTATTAAATCAAAATATTAATTTTAAAGATAGATGTAGGTATTGACTCTAGTATGTAATTTTTTTTTAATACAACTTAGAATGGCAAACAAGCTGAAGGCCCACCTGATGGAAAGTGGTAACCGTCGCCTATAGATATGAGCAGTACCATGAACATAACAGAGTATACTGTTTCGCCCATGATACCCCCCATGCGTTGCCATTCCTGAGGACTCAGGTGTTATTCCTCTGTACCTAGTAAATTCACGCCATATCCCACCCTTCAAACCGAAAGACAGTCATACAAACACAACTGCTTCACGGTAGAAACACGAATGAGACAGAGGTACCCAAGCAATCGACTTTTGTACAAAGTCTCCTTCTCTTAAAATATAGTATATCTTATATATGTAATATGTATTTAGAAAGCCGTTCGGTCCCGGCTTAGAATGGGCCACTCCTTCCTTTCTCGTGGGTGTCATAAGAGTCGACTAAGGGAACTTAATGGTCGAGGGATAAGCAGCAAATGTTAAAATATCAGAGCCTAACTGCGGTTGCCAGGGGGGAAGGGATTGTGAGTTTTGCGAACTGCCAGTCCCATTGCTAGCAATATACCCTGTCAGGTCGATCTCCACATAGTCCCTCCCTGGAAACCATCGTGCTGAATTCCAGGTGTATTCTTTATTGTGGGCTAACTGACTTGCCTTTTCATTCTCACCTATCATCCCTCACTGGTGGCCCGCCAGCGTATACCGTTAGCACGGGAGAGGCTACCATTTCATTATCATCCATTACAAACTACGGTTGTCAAACCGCTTGCAAAGGGCAACTACTGGCCAAACCCCTTATGGGTGAGACCTTTGTCCAGCAGTGGCCAGTGAATGGCTGATATGATTTTTTTTTATACAATTTAGAATGGCAAACAAGCTGACGGCCCACCTGATGGAAAGTGGTAACCGTCGCCTATAGACATGAGTAGTACTATGGACATAACAGAGTATACTGTTTCGCCCATAGTACCCCCCATGTGTTGCCATTCCTGAGGACTCAGGTGTTATTCCTCTGTACCTAGTAAATTCACGCCATATCCCACCCTTCAAACCGAAACACAGTCATGCAAACACAACTGCTTCACGGTAGAAACACGAATGGGACAGAGGTACCCAAGCAATCGACTATTGTACAAAGTCTCCCTCTGGTTAATATGATGATGTATACTCACAGAAGATTAGTGATGGTAGTAACATATTGGTACTCATTTGTTCCTTCCTCACTCAGCTGTCAAGTAAAGGGTTACGCGTATAATTTATTCAACGTACTTCGATGTTTTATCAAATAATTACACTCTCGTATATGTTTTATAGAGGTAACAAATTGAATTAATAAAGTACTTAATTGAATCTGTAAATACTTATGTTTTAATATTGCGTTTGGTTGAGAGAGAAGTATAACATCTTAGTTCTCAGGAATGTCAACGTATGGGGGTATCATGAGCGAAACAGTATACTCTTTTATGTCCATGGTACTGCTCATGTCTATAGGCGACGGTTACCACTTTTCATCAGGTGGGCCGTCAGTTTGTTTGCAATTGTAAGTTACATAAAAAAAAGATTGGTAACAGTATATATTTTTTAGCTTTTTTATTTAGACGCTTTTATCCTATAAGGATATGTCAGCCTCATAGTACCCTAAGTTTAAAAAAATACCTCACATACTTGAAGCATTAATACATAAATAAATAATACATAATATCTTAGTAGTCTATTTGATAAAGGGAATTATTGATACAGAAATATAGTAATTAAAGATTTTGCCATTCCGGAATGTGGTTCTGCGAGTATATTTGAAAATAAACCAATCTCCTATCTATTGAGAGTATATTTCTGTATCAATACTTCCCTTTGTGTTTTGTATTTCGTACATTCGGATATCATATGCTGAACATCATCCAATGTGTTACAAACATCACAATTCGGATTATTAAATATTGTGTTATAAAGTGCTATTTATCACAGATTCAATGATTTTGTATTCGTAATTATATAGCCTGGTATTGTCAAGTTACAAGAGCGTGAAAGCATTAGAAGTTATTATCATAAATCTGATATTTTGTTTGTTACTTTTTTACGCAAAAACTCTTTAACTCATTTGAATGAAATTTGGTACACAGATAGTTTATACTTTAATTTAAAACTTTATGAACACATATTTATTTATTTTTATGTGTAAGGTATATTATATAGGGTATTGTACATCGCTCTACCCGCTGACGTTAATGATCCTTTCCATATTGGGTGTTGCTGAAAGAGAACTCTTTTAGAGTTAAGCTCGCCTTTGTACATTTGATTACCTCTGTCATATTCTTATAACTGGTGTGTACAATAAAGAATTAAATAAATAAAGAAATAAATCTTTCAAACCGAAAAGAAAGGAATAGGAGTGGGCCAATGTAATTTAATGGTCGACGGGTGGGCAGTAGCATCCCTCTTAAAACATCACCAAAGCTAAACGACCGGTGCCAGGCAGGTTGTCAAGCCAAGAGTAATAACTTCTTGCAAAACCTTTCTTATGGGGGAGGCCTATGATCAGCAGTGGACAGTTGACGACTGATGATGATTATGAAAGTATTTACATGAAACACTTGTTATAGTAGTTATCAAGTATTACGACACACCTTCAACGGCGATCGGATCGGACCATCTAGCATGACGCAAGAAGGCGCGCTACCGAGAAAGATACCTGCGTCGAGTCAGCATTTCAATTCCCACAGCAAAAATACCCATTTCCTTTACGTTTGATTCGATATGACTTCACTTACGGATCACACATCGATCCGAAGACACTTATTATTGTAATAATTAATTTTAGAATTAAATTTAGTTATATTTATAAAATTGTTTTTTTTTTGGGTCTTCCGCCAGCGACTTCAATAACTCACTCCAAAACAATTATGTCTGATTTTGTGTTGTAAGTATAAAATGTAAAAACTAGACAGTGAAGATAGTACTTCATAAAAAAAAAAAAACTGACTTTCTGATTCTACCATACTTCAAATTTGAAGAGTGGAAGAAGCGATTTTCCGTAACGGGGAGTTTTTATGGATGATAATGGAATGGTAGTTTTGCTTGCGTTAACGGTGTACGTTAGCGGGGCACCAGTAGGACTGGTAGTCCGCATTACTAATAATCCCTTTCCCTCGATATGATTTTTTTTAATGGCTGATAATGGAATGGTAACCCCGCCCGCGCTATTGGTATACACTGGCACGTATAATACGTACCAGTAATGGATGATGTGAATTCGTCACAATGGGCCCACTGACTTGTTTTCATCCTCACTAATCATTTCTCACTTGTGCACGTCTTTTATTTATTTATTTATTTATTTATTCATTAGTACAAATATGTGTACATGGCGGACTTAATGCTAAAAGCATTCTCTCCCACTCAACCATAGGGAAGTGTCAGAATACTCGAATGCGGTACTACTAATTATTGATATACATACATACTAAAATTACATATATAAACGAATAAATATATATGAATAACGAATATACTTACACATATATGATATATACTATATTACTTGCTGCTCGGATAAAGATAAAAAGTGAGCGTGAACGCTTTTTTGAAAGACGGTTTAGTCGGTAATCTCTCAATGGCATCAGGAAGCGTGTTCCAGAGTCGTAAAGAATGTAAGAGAAAGAGTTTGAAGCGTAACCAGTACGGTGAGAGGGGAAAGATAATTGGAGAGTATTATTGGAACGAAGGTTACGTTTGTGAGTCTTTATTCTAATTAAACTGGAGCTGGTCATATAAATGAAGTTATTGGACTGTAATGAAAAGTTGATATTTTAATATTTAGTTTTTTTTCGTTTTAGAGTAGCACGTGTTGTACTTGCTGATTTCTTCTGATCTTGAAATCTTTTGTCTATACGGATCAATACCCACCATAAGTACAAGAAATCAACGTGGAACCTAACCGCCCTCTGATGGCCAGAAATGGCAATATTCGAATCTTTGCCTTGGTCTCTTTTCAATTTTGTCGTCATATAAATGTCTATAATTTTTCTGTAAATTCTTCTGAGCCGTCTGTACAGAAATGCTATGCGGTAGCCAGTATCTTTCTGATTGAAGTATTTAGACGTTTCCAACTGATTTATTTTAAATTTTGCCATATGTAATACTTGTAGCATCATGTCCAATGTTTTTAATTTGTGAGCCATCGTAGACGCTGCATTCCACCAAGACCATATGTAAGGAATATAAAATCTTCTAGTGTCGTTACTGAATACTTCGGTATTGTTAATTGTATTGTTATTTATATTATACAGTTTCGACATTTCTGCCTCGTAAGTTTGCATTTTCTTTTTAAATTTGTTAACGTCTAGTGTTTCTATATTCAGTTTGACGTCTAGAGCTTTCACGTCTGAAGGTAATTGCGTTTCATTGTTTTTCAGAATAGAAAATATATCTTGGATATCGGGATAATCAGTATTGTTATAGTCGCAAGAAATTATCGTTGCATCTGTGAACAATTTAGCTGCTTATTTAATTACTGATAGCTGATTCGGTGAACATTGATTTATCCCTATCGTCACCTTTTGGACCTTAAGATGACTATTATTAGTGCAGCTAATAAAGCTAAATACGCGGCTTTAACTGCGAATTGGTAAATAAAATATCCTATTTTGTAATTTAGTATATGGCTTTTCTAAATTTCAATTTAATTCATTCAGTAGTCCTTCAAAATTTTCACATTTATAATATTAGATCATCGCTATTATTATAAAACATAATTGGTTAGTTGTTTAGAGTTATTTTGTTAAATTCCACTACCACTAGCATGCGTGTAACTGCCAACATTTGAGGACTGACTATTAATATTATTAAATTTTTTTTTACTATTATTTTAAGGGCTTTTACCTTCTTCAGGTCTTATCGTACTCTGAACTGATTTCTCAAACAAAACTTTATCTACTTTCCCTAGACGCGGAAAGAGAAGCATAACTTATAGAGATGTTCAAAAATTTTTGGACATCTCTGTAAATTATTGATGCCCATTAATTATTATTTATTAAATATTATTTGTTGGTAATCGTAGAGAAAGTATTAGGCATGAAAATTATTGATACATTTATTTCATTATCACGAGTAACAAATCACAAAAAAATGATTTTCGCTTGCAATGATTTAATATCGAACTCGCAGCTATTTGCTAGTAATAGTGAAATATGATTTTTAATAAGAAGACGCGAATAGACACTTAAAATCTCTATTTGCCCACTCTGTAAGGCCCAGTTTTATAGACAGTGTTGTTTCTAAAATTTTTAGCGCTTTTTGTAAAGCGATCAGGAGTGATATATGATATGGCGCAGAATATGAAATTTCACTTGTGACATGTGCAATACTGTAAAATTTGACAGTATACCTGATGAAAAGCAGTAACTACCATTCGTAGAGACAAGAAAAATACAATGAACGACCGTACTGATCATGGGTTTCTCCATAGGGCGACATATATTCCCAGTAGTGGGATATTAATAAGTTGTTGTCATTTTAAAAACAATACGTACATAATAGAAGTATTAATAATAGCATAGTTTTTGCTGAGATTGAAACTGCGTTTGTTCTCACTTGATTAATGACGTTATTTTATTAGATGTTTTGTGTAATAGGTATAATTTTAATCAAATAATAATTAATAAAATTATTATTTAATATAACAATTGAAATAAAATAGGCATTACACATGATTGTTTTAGTTTTATTTATTCATAATCATTATATCATCGTTTAACTCTCCATTGCTGAACATGAGCCTCCCCCTTGGAGGACTTTGACGGTAATTGCCATGTTTGGCAGGCGGATTGGCAACCGCAATTAGGCTTTGGAGATGTTTTAAGAGGGACGTTGCTGCTAAGCCCTCTTCATTCCCTTAGTTACTTCTTACGACCTAAACATAAAAGATGGCGCTCTCTAGTGTCGAGTGTTTTAATTTTCACTTACGAAAGGAGTTTATATACTTTAAGCTTTTTGAACTTTCTGTTATTATAAAACATAAAAGTCATTTGCATTGGTACCTCTGTCCAGGGCTGACCTTAGTGCATGTACTTACGAGGCACCCATGGACAAGTGAGCGGCACTCTGCCTTACAAAAAAAAAAGGTTTCCTTATTCGAAAATGTTGTCAGTGCCCAATCCCCTGACTAGAGGACAAACAAAATTAATCTGGGATCCCCGCTATTCCTCCAGCGGAATTTCACGTGATTATTTATTAAAAAAAATCTATAGCGCTTTCACTACATCAGCAAAATCTAACTGCGGTTGTCAATTCGCTTGCTAAACGTGACAACTATGGGGGAGGCCTATATATATATATATATAATGATGGACCAGTGACATGGACTGATAAGATGATGATGATAATAATAGACAAAGAGTAAATATAATAAAAAAAAATTGAATATATGTATATTTTTTTAAAAAAAGAATTGGATATAGAATATTTTCAAGTTTTCACTCAGGTGTTGTATGAAAAAAAGTTAATTTCAATCAATGAATTTCCAATGCTTTATTCTGTCATGTTGATACTTCTTTATCACTGCTTTGCAGTTCACGTCGTTTTGTACAATTAAATCGGTAAGCAACTCTATTTCGAACCATATTTGAACTAATCTCTCTTCAGTTTGTAGAGCACCGTATATATCATGCCTATAATGTTTCCCTTGCCTTAACGTGCTACACGCTTTATAAGATCGGAATGCAAATTTTGAAAATATCTTGCAACGTGTATCCGTTTTGCTGAACAAAAAGCCCATCTTGTACAACGGGGAACTGGAATATTTCTTCCTGAACATTTGCATTAACACCATTTTGTTTCTCGCCTGATAGATGGCTTGTTTCATCAGTTCAAAAAATCTTTTCCTTAGATAAAAAGGATCCCGCTGTGATCTATTCTCATCGTATTTCCCCGGCGGCACCCATCTTTTCCTTCCGTCTCTTTCTAGTATAATTTTTGCGTCACCGTCTTCTACTTTTAGGGACAACAACTCATCGGTTTCATCTATACCCTTCAGTACATTTTCTAACTCATCTTTTACAGTTTTATTAACACCTAACGCTTTGTTCTCCTCATCAATTCTCTTCCACACTACGACTGGGCTGAATTTTTTTATATAATCTCTAAAAAGCCATTGTTTTTGTTGAATTGTCATATTGTTTTCATTCGGTGGTGTTGAGTTGTTTTGAACAGACGTTACGTTAACTGCCTTCACATTTATTACAATAGTCAAAATTCCCAGTAAATCTGTAATATAATTTATGTAAATGTGTTTTTCTTTGAAGAGAACAATGAAGAGTTTTCGTTTATTCGTAACAAGCTTTTACCGGCGACTTCGTCCGTGTAACTGGGATATGTCTACTGATCGAGATAAAAATAGCTTAGACTTTTTCCATTCCATGTAGTAACTTTCAAAGTGATTGGTTAAGTTATAAAGTTGCCAAGAGGTAATAAATAAACGAACACACTTTCTGCTTTTTTTTATTAATAAGGAATTGTTAGGAAAATAATGATTCTCAGAAATAAAACAAAAGCTTACCAAGAAGCTAGAGTAGAAATGGGCTGACTACATAGCTCCAAGTCACATAGACAAATAATGAGGAAGAAAGGTTATTGAGTGGTAACGTCGTACTTGCAAATACAGTATAGGATGACACCATATAAGATGGAGCGATGACTTCAAACGCATTGCAGGGAGTCAGTGGATGCAGGTGGCTCGGGATCGTTCCTTATGGCAGTGTATGGGGGAGGCTATGTTCAGTAGTGGACAGTAAACGGCAAATTTTTTTTATACAACTTAGAATGGCAAACAAGCTGACGGCCCACCTGATGGAAAGTGGTAACCGTCGCCTATAGACATGAGCAGTATCATGGATATAACAGAGTATAGTGTTACGCCCATGACACCCCCCATGCGTTGTCATTCCTGAGGACTCACGTGTTATTTCTCTGTACCCTATAAATTCACGCCATATCCCACCCTTCAAACCGAAACACAGTCATGTAAACGCAACTGCTATACGGCTAACACGAATGGGACAGAGGTACCCAAGCAAACGACTTTTGTACAAAGTCTTCCGTCAAATAATTTGAGCAGGATTTATTTGCCATTTCATTTCATATAGGATTTTGCTTCTCTTGTTTTTTATTTTTTTAGTCACCTTTTACGACATCTCGAGGGTGAAAAGGAAAGATGACATGTTGTTTACTTACTCTGTTGCCACACAGGGAATGTTTGATATAATGTGATAATCTTAGATTATATAGATGGAGCATCGAGTCTCAAAAACGGGTCAACATTTTATCAGCTAATTGTCAAATTAGCTGATTCGTTTTTTTATCTGTTTTTTTTTTTAATGGATGATAATGGAATGGTAACCCCACCCGCGCTATCGATATACACCGGCGGGGCACCAGTGAAGGATGATAGGTGAAGATGAATTAGATCAGTTAGCCCATCGTGACGAATTCAACAAGAATTGTTCACGACGGTTTCCAGGGGGAATCACGTGGAGGTCAACCTAATAAGGCATATTGCTAACAATGGAGCTGTCAAACTCAATTGCTAACAATCAATTTCCTCCCTTTTTATCTGTGTCACTAGTTGTAATATTTACTCACACAATGTACCTTGGCGTATTTATATTTAATTATTTATTAGATAAACTGAGTTTTTACGCATTAAAAAGGTGCAAAAATTATAAAACAAACTAAATATAGAAGTTATAAAGGAAACACTCATAACTATTTATCACGTAAAATTGTATGAAAAAGTTGACCCGTTTTTCTCGAAGCATTTGTATGGAGACACTCTATCTATATTAATCTAAGCTAATAATATATACTTACTAATATAACTTAGTAACATATTTAGTATAATTATTCTATATTTTATAATATGGAAAATATCCTATAAATTCTATTATCCTTCTGCAAAATCTAGCCTAAAAGTGTATGTAAATTGTATACTTTATCTTAATTATAATTTTTATCAGGTATTAACAATTCAATTAAATATTGTTTATAGTTAAGACTAGTGGCTCGTCCTGGCGTCGCACGGGTGGACATTTTTACATTTTAAAAAGTGGCCATTAAGGCTGCACACGCCACGGAAGCTTAAAAATAGAGTAACTTCTCCCGTTTTCCCAACATTTCCCTTCACTGCTCTCCTCCTATTAATCGTAGCGTGATGAAAAGTATATTATAACCTGCCCAGAAGTATGAAGAATAATTGTACCAAGTTTCGTTAAAATCCGTCGAATAGTTTTTGTTTCTATAACGAACATACAGACAGACAGACAAAAATTTTACTGATTGCATTTTTGGCATCAGTATCGATCATTAATCACCCCCTGATAGTTATTTTGGAAATATATTTCATGTACAGAATTGATCTCTCTACAGATTTATTATAAGTATAGATAACATCGAAACATGTCTGGATATTTTCTTTCTTCATTCATTTAAGAGTTTCCTCTTGTCGGTGCAACTAATTCATGCATCTTCTTCCAGCCAGTTCTAAGTCAAGTTACTAGACTTTTTTTAATGATGATAATGGAATGGTAACCTCACTTGCGTTAACGGTATAAGCTGGCGGGGCACCAGTGAATAATAAGTGAGAATGAAAAGGCAGGTCAGTTAGTCCACCGTGATGAATACACCTGGAATTAGCTAGTTTTCAGGACACGATGAGGTCGACCTGACAAGTTTTATTTTTTATACAACTTAGAATGGCAAACAAGCAGCCATGCAAACACAACTGCTTCACGGTTGAAACATTGGGACAGAGGTACCCAAGCAATCAACTTTTATACAAAGTCTCCCTCTGGTTATATTGTTAGCAATGAGACTGGCAATCCGCATCACTAACAACCCCCCCCCCCCAAATTACTAGACAAAAAGTGAAGGTGAGTTTGTTACCTGTAAGCGTTTTATCGGCATGTATGTATGGTTTGTTTGAATCGAAGCATTTGGCGTTCCATTGTGTCTGCCTACCCTGATGGGAAACAGCCGTGACAGATATGTATGTATGTATGACATGCATATATTGTATGGGATGGGAAGGCTGCTTTTTACCTGGTCATGAAATATATCTCGGTTACGAGAATGAGGTCGCGGGTACAAATTAATACTGTATACGTATATTTTCTTTATAAAATAGAGTATTTTTGTACGAAGAAAGACGGTAAACAATATATGTATTTTAAGATATTATATATTCTACGATTTGTAATAAAATATCAGGTAACATAGCATATTCCTTTTTAAAAGTCCGGCAGCACACCTTGTAATGCCTTTAGTGTTGTGGTCGATCATGGGCGGCGGTAGTCACTTACCACCAGGTGAGCCGCATGCTCGTTTGCCCCCTGTGTTGTAAAAAAAAAAAAAACATTATTTTTTAAGAACTGTTGCAGGTAGTTTATTTTAAAAATAACGAATGCTTATACAATATTCATTATTGATTGTTATTGGATGGCCGATATACTGTGACGCAAGCGTTACGAAACCGGAACTCGACCTACACAAACATAAAAAACAGTTCCGAAGAAGTGAGACATGTAATATCGACGCAATAAATATTTGATTCATTCTTTCATTCACATAATACAGTTCTTGGAATATTAAAAGGCTACATTCAAGTGTTGATATTGTATAACGGAAATATGGCCAGTACGACATATATAAATGTGTGTAAACTATTTCAGAAGGTATTAATATAATGTTTTATTTATTTAATCATCACATCAGCTTTTAACTGTCCACCGCTGATCGTAAGCCTCGCCTTTGATGTTTTTTTTTTACAACACAGGAGCAAACGAGCATGCGGCCACCTGATGGTAAGTGACTACCGCCGCCCATGATCACCCACAACACCAGCGGCATTACAGGTGTGCTGCCGGCCTTTTAAATAGGAATACGCTCTTTTTTTTAAAGTTATGATGTCATATCGGTTCGGACATACTGCTGCTGGAAATTGACTCCAAAGAGTGGTTGTGCGTGGAAGAAATTGATATAATATATATTGATATATATCGTGTTGACATTGTATAACGGAAATATGGCTAGTGCGAATTGCCATATTTCCGTTATTAATTGGTTTAATATATTATATGTATACGATATTTCTGTGCATTACAGGTTTTTGTATTTTATGCACGAAAAATTATTAATTCACTCTTGCGCCACCTGTCCATTTCTATCTGTTCTCCTTTAACCAAAGGTTGTCTGTAAGAGATTGCCCTAGCGATAAGATAAGAGCGATAGCGCTTTTATACCTTTATGTGTATATTTCAATCTGTATTTATGTTACTGTATTTCACTTGAATTATTCACTTGTCATTGTATATTTTTATTTATGGTGCAATGCTGTTTTTCACCATCGTATAACCCGCCATAAACTAAAATTTCATCCCAACCATCTGGACGAGTGGCGGTCCTCCACCGTGCGTTTCTCAAGGTACTTTCTCCCACGCACAACCACTCTTTGGAATCAACATCCAGCAGCAGTATTTCCGAACCGATACGACAACATAACCTTCAAGAAAAGAGCACATTCCTTAAAAGGCCGGCAGCACACCTGCAAAGCCGTAGGTGTTGTGGGTGACAATGGACGGCGGTAGTCACTTACCATCAGGTGAGCCGCATGCTTGTTGTGTAAAAAAAAATAAAGAGATAAATAAATAAATAAATAAATATGTCTGTTATGGCTCATGTAGAGCTTCTTACCGTCATATACATATGACAGACAGGGCAATTTACGTGTTAATATAATGTTTTATTTATTTCATCATTAACATGTTAGCCTTTAATTGTCCATCACTGAACATAAGCCTCTCCCTTGGGGGGTTTTGCTAGTAGTTGCTACACTTGGCAGGCAGATTGGCAACCGCAGTTAGGCTTTGGAGATGTTTTAAGAGAGTAGCTTCTGCCCATCTGTTGCCCTCCCAAATTCGCCTCGTACGACATCCATGGGAAAGGAAGTGGTGACCTATTCTATGGCGGGACCACACAGCATTTTTATTGTCGTATTTATACGTTATAATTAATGAATAACTTAAATATTACTTTATGTTTCCTCAATTCATGAATGCACCGTCTACCCATATCTTTGTTTGCCGAATAATTGACTAGTAATTATATATATATTCGATTGCCATCTTGCAAGCCTATTGTGGCATATAAAAAAACAGGGATTGATTGTAAAAGCGTGAAAATTTGAATTTGTATATATTTTTCAATGCTAAATCATAATAAAATAAAAATAAAAAAAAAATTTGGGTGTGTATCACCCTTATCACTGAGGGGTATGAAAAATAGATGTTGGTCCATTTTCAGACCTACCCAATATGCACACAAAATTTCATGAAAATACTCGCTCATTCGCATATTCGCCTATCCATCCATCTTCCCATCCATCCGTCCGTCACAGTTGTTTGATTGGGCACCTTTGTCCCATTCGCGTTTCTACAATGAAGCAGCTGTGTTTGCATGGCTGTGTTTCAGTTCGAAAGGTGTAATATGGCAGTGAATTCACAGAGTACAGATAAATAACACCTGAGTCCTCAGGAATGGCAACGCATGGGGGGTATCATGTACGCGAAACAGTATACTCTGTTATGTCCATGGTACTGCTCATGTTTATAGGCGACGGTTACCACTTTCCATCAGGTGAGCCGTCAGCTTGTTTGCCACTCTAGGTTGTATAAAAAAAATGTACTGTAATTAATTTATAGTGTTATATTTATATTTCAAATGTTGTTATTATAATTTTTATTATTTATTTTATTAATTTAATAATTATAATGTAAGTATTGACTGCCACTGTGCGATGAAAACTGTTATATTTAAAAAAAAATATGGTTAGAACTAGTCCAGTTCTTGGTGTTGTGATAATTTCTAAAAAAAAACGGCGGTAGAAACAATGTTTAATTTTTTCTTATACTATTCACCTTTATCTTTATAATTAAAAATTTGAAATAATTATGATTTATAATTATTTCAAATTTTTCGCTTAACAAACTTATTAGATAAGTGGGGGAAAGGGGGAGGGGGGGGGGGGAGAATAGTATTTTTTTCACAATTTCGAACATATATAAACAACTATATAGCAAAAAAAATTTTTAAATGTACCTATAAATGAAGCATTTTTATATGATATCTTATTTGCGCTAGTAAATAAATTTTTAATACCTTTTTAGACCTATCAGCAAAATAAGAAATATTTTTCATTTTCATTGCAATGTCCCTCATACATTATGTAATGAACAATATGTAAAATAACTTCAAATTTCAAATTGATAGCATTAATAGATACTGAGATATACCGCTGTGACAGACGCATCATTGTAACATTTCGGAACAGAACCTTGAAAGAAAGAGTATAATGTTTCGCTCATGATATCTTCCATGCGTTGCCATTCCTGAGGACTCAGGTGTTATTCCTCTGAACACTGTAAATTCACGCCATATTCCACTCTTCAAACCGAAACACAGCCATGCAAACACAACTGTTTTACGGTCGAAACACAGATGGGACAGAGGTACCCAAGCAAACGACTTTTGTACCAAGTCTACCTCTGGTAAAATCAGAATCTTCAAAATCGATCCCGATTTAACAACAACATTGCATAACAGACACACAAAAACTACAATCGAATCGGAACTCCTTTTGAAGTTAGCTGAAAGCGGCCGCAACATGATCGCTTTATCACAATCGAATAAGTATTAACCCTTTGTGATCAATAGTGGGCAATCGTTGAATAATTCGTCACACACCAACCGAAGCGGCGCGCCCGATCTCATATTTTATTTGAACTGAAAGAAAAGTTGGTCATACATAGTCGTGTCCGTCTACGTGTGCACTCTTCCCGCGAAGCCTGGCTCGTAATAATCCGTCCCGTTCTGCTCTACCCTGTAATATGTCAAAGATTATACGATGAAACTTGCGGATTTCGCGTATTACACAGATAGGTGTATCCTTACATTGTAGAGAATGTTCACGAGTTTCTGCCTACAGAGTGTGGAGTGTGTGCAGGCCGCTTATATTAGGATCGATTCTATAGTGTTATTTAGCTAAACGTATTTCTAAAACTTATATTTGTTACTACAGCGAAATCTTAAGTATAAGGAACAATATAAACTAAATTTCTAATAGGTTTAAGTAAAAAATATTATAAATTTAGTATATGATGGTTTAAAAGGTAATGAAATGAGCTCCCTGTAAAGGTTTTTCCAAGAGACATAGAGGATAAAGAGGTTTCTTCAGGGTCGGCAATACGTGCGTAATAGCCCTGGTATTGCAGGCGTTCATAGGCTACAGTAACCGCTAACCATCAAGTGGGCCGTATGTTTGTTTGCCATCTCAGGGGTATAAAAAACATTCATGAATCTATCAAATTAAAATATTAGATTAACAGAAAAATGGCGTCTCAGAATCGTGCATATTGTTTACAGTCTTTATATCATTATTTCACATATATAAAATTCACACATTTTTTATTGTTTCCTTTGGCACCCCTTCACGGTTCTAGTTTTAAGCTTTCTTCATTAATATACATATATTTTCAGTTTCCATTGCTGGTTTTTTATCACATATAAATTGCAAAGAGATTTTTTTAAGGAGGTCGAGTGTGTATAGAAGAATTTGTTACTTTTATTTTTAAGTCTGTAAATTACAAAGGGATAGCAGAAACAAGTGATAAAAATAGGAAATATCCATGCCATATGGCCAGTACGACATATATAAATGTGTGTAAACTATTTCAGAAGGTATTAATATAATGTTTTATTTATTTAATCATCACATCAGCTTTTAACTGTCCACCGCTGATCGTAAGCCTCGCCTTTGATGTTTTTTTTTTACAACACAGGGAGCAAACGAGCATGCGGCCACCTGATGGTAAGTGACTACCGCCGCCCATGATCACCCACAACACCAGCGGCATTACAGGTGTGCTGCCGGCCTTTTAAATAGGAATACGTTCTTTTTTTTTAAAGTTATGATGTCATATCGGTTCGGACATACTGCTGCTGGAAATTGACTCCAAAGAGTGGTTGTGCGTGGAAGAAATTGATATAATATATATTGATATATATCGTGTTGACATTGTATAACGGAAATATGGCTAGTGCGAATTGCCATATTTCCGTTATTAAATTAATTGGTTTAATATATTATATGTATACGATATTTCTGTGCATTACAGGTTTTTGTATTTTATGCACGAAAAATTATTAATTCACTCTTGCGCCACCTGTCCATTTCTATCTGTTCTCCTTTAACCAAAGGTTGTCTGTAAGAGATTGCCCTAGCGATAAGATAAGAGCGATAGCGCCTTTTGTACCTTTATGTGTATATTTCAATCTGTATTTATGTTACTGTATTTCACTTGAATTATTCACTTGTCATTGTATATTTTTATTTATGGTGCAATGCTGTTTTTCACCATCGTATAACCCGCCATAAACTAAAATTTCATCCCAACCATCTGGACGAGTGGCGGTCCTCCACCGTGCGTTTCTCAAGGTACTTTCTCCCACGCACAACCACTCTTTGGAATCAACATCCAGCAGCAGTATTTCCGAACCGATACGACAACATAACCTTCAAGAAAAGAGCACATTCCTTAAAAGGCCGGCAGCACACCTGCAAAGCCGTAGGTGTTGTGGGTGACAATGGACGGCGGTAGTCACTTACCATCAGGTGAGCCGCATGCTTGTTGTGTAAAAAAAAATAAAGAGATAAATAAATAAATAAACAAATATGTCTGTTATGGCTCATGTAGAACTTCTTAGCGTCATATACATATGACAGACAGGGTAATTAACGTGTTAATATAATGTTTTATTTATTTCATCATTAACATGTTAGCCTTTAATTGTCCATCACTGAACATAAGCCTCTCCCTTGGGGGGTTTTGCTAGTAGTTGCTACACTTGGCAGGCAGATTGGCAACCGCAGTTAGGCTTTGGAGATGTTTTAAGAGAGTAGCTTCTGCCCATATGTTGCCCTCCCGAAGTCGCCTCGTACGGCATCCATGGGAAAGGAAGTGGTGGCCTATTCTATGGCGGGACCACACAGCATCTTTTTATTGTCGTATTTATACATTATAATTTAAATATTACTTTATGTTTCCTCAATTCATGAATGCACCGCCTACCCATATCTTTGTTTGTCCAATAGTTGACTATATAATTATATATATATATATATATATATATATATATATATATATATATATATATATATATATATATATATATATATATATATATATATATATATATATATGACTCGGCAAACGTTGTTTTACCATATACGTTATTTTGAGAATTATACATGAAAATTTATCCTACTGCAAGCCTATTGTGGCATATAAAAATCAGGGGTTGATTATAAAAGCGTGAAAATTTGAATTTGTATGTATTTTTCAATGCATTATGTATTATGATTTACGTAATAAAATAAAAATAAAAAAATTGTCAAACGAATAAAAAATAAAATTTTGGGTGTGGGTCACCCTTATCATTGAGGGGTATGAAAAATAGATGTTGGCCGATTCTCAGACCTACCCAATATGCACATTGAATAGTATTTTTTCATATTTTCGATCATAAGTAAACAACTATATAGCAAAAAAAAAAATTAAATGTACCTACAAATGAAGCATTTTTATATGATATCTCATTTAAGCTAGTAAATCAATTGAATGAATACCTTTTTAGACCTCTTAGCAAAAAAAAGAAATATTTTTCCTATTTCATTGCAATGTCCCTCATACATTATGTAATGAACAATATGTAAAATAACTTCATTGATAGCATTAATAGATTCTGAGATATACCGCTGTGACAGACGAACGGACGCATCATTGTAACATTTCGGAACAGAACCTTGAAAGAAAGAGTATAATGTTTCGCTCATGATATCACCCATGCGGTGCCATTCCTGAGGACTCAGATGTTATTCCTCTGTACCCTATAAATTCACGCTATATTCCACTCTTCAAACTGAAACACAGCCATGCAAACACAACTGCTTTTACGGTTGAAACACAAACGGGACAGAGGTACCCAAGCAAACGACTTTTGTACAACGTCTCACTCTGGTAAAATCAGAATCTTCAAAATTGATCCCGATTTAACAACAACATTGCATAACAGACACACAAAAACTACAATCGAATCGGAACTCCTTTTGAAGTTAGCTGAAAGCGGCCGCAACATGATCGCTTTATCACAATCGAATAAGTATTAACCCTTTGTGATCAATAGTGGGCAATCGTTGAATAATTCGTCACACACCAACCGAAGCGGCGCGCCCGATCTCATATTTTATTTGAACTGAAAGAAAAGTTGGTCATACATAGTCGTGTCCGTCTACGTGTGCACTCTTCCCGCGAAGCCTGGCTCGTAATAATCCGTCCCGTTCTGCTCTACCCTGTAATATGTCAAAGATTATACGATGAAACTTGCGGATTTCGCGTATTACACAGATAGGTGTATCCTTACATTGTAGAGAATGTTCACGAGATTCTGCCTACAGAGTGTGGAGTGTGTGCAGGCCGCTTATATTAGGATCGATTCTATAGTGTTATTTAGCTAAACGTATTTCTAAAACTTATATTTGTTACTACAGCGAAATCTTAAGTATAAGGAACAATATGAACTAAATTATTAATAGGTTTAAGTAAAGATTGTTATAAATTTAGTATATGATGGTTCATAAAAAGGTAATGAAATGAGCTCCCTGTAAAAGTTTTTCCAAGAGACATAGAGGATAAAGAGGTTTCTTCAGGGTCGGCAATACGTGCGTAATGCTCCAGGTATTGCAGGCGTTCATAGGCTACAGTAACCGCTAACCATCAAGTGGGCCGTATGTTTGTTTGCCATCTCAGGGGTATAAAAAACATTCATGAATCTATCAAATTAAAATATTAGATTAACAGAAAAATGGCGTCTCAGAATCGTGCATATTGTTTACAGTCTTTATATCATTATTTCACATATATAAAATTCACACATTTTTTATTGTTTCCTTTGGCACCCCTTCACGGTTCTAGTTTTAAGCTTTCTTCATTAATATACATATATTTTCAGTTTCCATTGCTGGTTTTTTATCACATATAAATTGCAAAGAGATTTTTTTAAGGAGGTCGAGTGTGTATAGAAGAATTTGTTACTTTTATTTTTAAGACTGTAAATTACAAAGGGATAGCAGAAACAAGTGATAAAAATAGGAAATATCACTTCGTTGTACTACCTCAATAATAAAATGAAAAGTACTTCGTACAAGTCGCAGAGTTTTTGACAGTCTGCGCGTTCTGTCTACTCTATGATTTGTAGTATTGGAGTGTAGGGGTTTGGTCTCCTACCCCTCAGTACAGCAAGGTGCGTTCGTGGAAAGGGACGTGCGCCACGTCACCGCCATTAATATTATGAACACGAGAAAAATGTAGCCGAAATACGTAAACTGTATCACGCGATAACGGTACGCACGCGATGAATGCCGATTAAAAAATATTTGAGGTGTTTTTATGTGACCACATTAGTGACTTTATAAAGTTGCAGTTCTGTGTTAGTGCTGTGAGCTGTGTATATAATATATAGCTAGTTGGTAGTAGAAAACACTGTTTGCAAGCTTTCAAAGTATAATTACAGGTGAGTCGCTGGCTTCTTTTATTACGGCTCTTATATATTAATTTTAATAGCGCTCCACTGTACGGTATAATGTAAAAAGCGTTACTTTTTAAATTTCTACCATTACAAGTAATATGATTTTTTTAAAATTTATTATTATAAATATGAATTAAGCACTTTGTATACATTTTAAATAAATATATTATACATCATTAAATATATTTAATATTTTTGACAAGTAATGTCACTAAAGAATTTTTGCCTTTCTCGATATATTATGCCATGGGCGATGCCATGGAGGTTGTAAGTCGTTACGTAAAACTACTACTAGATATTCTATATATTGTGCCATCAAGGATACCATGTATCTATGGAGACTCGAATGCGTTAAAACCACAAATCTAAGTATATATGTATACAATTTTTATAAAGCAATTTATCCTTTTAATGTCGTTTTTTTTAAGTTAAGAAAAAATATTCATAATTCGTAAAATCTGATTATTTTAATAATTATAAATAATTTTTCTTATGTAAATTAGAATGGCAAACAAGTTGACGGCCCACCTGATGGAAAGCGGTATAACCGTTGATTATAGACATGAGCAGTACCATGGACATAACAGAGTATACTGTTTCGCCAATGATATCCCTCATGCGTTGCCATTCCTGAGGACTCAGCTGTTATTACTCTGTACCCTGCAAATTCACTGCCATATCTCACCCTTCAAACCGAAACACAGCCATGCAAACACAACTGCTTCACGGTAGAAACACGAATGGGACAGAGGTACCCAAGCAATCGACTTTTGTACAAAGTCTCCCTCTGATAAATACAATAAAAGTCTGTTACAATATTTTTACATAAATAATGATGTTGCTGCTAAACAGAGGGAGACTTTGTACAAAAGTCAATTGCTAAGCAGTCCCATTCGTGTTTCAACCGTAATGCAGGTTTGATATGGCGTGAATTTACAGGGTACAGAGGAATAACACCTGAGTCCTCAGGAATTGCAACGCATGGGGGGTATCATGGGCGAAACAGTATACTCTGTTATGTCCATGGTACTACTCATGTCTATAGGCGACGGCAAACACTTTGGATCAGGTGGACCGTCAGCTTGTTTGCCATTATAAGTTGTATAAAAAAAAAGCAAAAAGGGATGTTCCTGAACTGAAGTCACCGTTAGAAGTCGACGAAAATGTTACTCCAGTACAAATATTTCTATGAAATATTCAAAGAATTTTTTGACCTGTATTTCGAATTTATGATTTAAAAAAAAAAAAGATTTGTTACTAATATTTCATAAGTAGATGATATTATTTCATATTCCTTAAGTTTATAACCTAAATATGAGCCCAAGGGATCAATCCGTTCGCTCATTATATCCCGATGATTAAATGGAGGGATCCCTTGGGTTCCTGTCTTTTTCTATTTGATAGATATATTGCAAATAGCAAAACAAGAGACTGGTCTCTACTTCCATGCTATTTTTAATTTTATTCTTGAATACAATAGATATTGAATTGGCCTGTATTTTTTATTATATTATGTGATTTTTTTTCGTAATTTCAATTTTTTTTTGTATATATTTTTTTTTAACAAAGTGTAGGGATTATTTTTGTGTTAATACAATATTATTATTACCAGAGGCAGACTTTGTACAAAAGTCGATTGCTTCAGTACCTCTGTTCTATTCAGGTTACAACCGTGAAGCAGTTGTGTTTGCATGGCTGTGTTTCGGTTTGAAGGGTGGGATATGGCGTGAATTTACTGGGTACAGAGGAATAACACCTGAGTCCTCAGGAATGGCGACGCATGGGGGGTATCATGGGCGAAACTGTATTCCTGTTATGTCCATGGTACTGCTCATGTCTATAGGCGACGGTTACCACTGCCCATCAGGTGGGTCGGCAGCTTGTTTGCCATTCTAAGTTGTATAAAAAAAAAATTAATTTTAGTAAGATTGAATTTTCAATATTTCTTTTTTGGAGAATATCATAATATTAAATTGTGAACGTTTATTTTTAGTAATATTAATGATTTTTATTTAAAACAGATTAAACCTGAATCTAGAATATGGAATCTAGTAAAGAAAATTATGGTTCACAAAAAAAAAAAAACTTTATAATGGCAAAACTTAATATTCTGATTAAAAAACTAAACTTCTTATTTTTTTTATCTTATGACTGATTATGATGTAATTTCTATGAAAGCAATCTCTAAGTATATCCTTTTAGACAAAAAAGCATTTTCCAAATCGGTTTATTATTGACTGAGTTATGGGATAACAATAAATAAAAAAATACAACCGAATTGAGACCTTTTTTCTTTTTAAAATCGGTTGAAAGTTAGCTAACAATTTGTATAATTGTTAAATGGTTAAAAATAGATACTCTTGTATTAAGAGAAACCGGAAAAAGTATCCAAAGAACGTGTCAAACACAAAAACAAACCAATTTAGATTAATTGGTTTTGTAACTTGACTATAAAGGGAATTGAGTTCGCGATTCCATTTACGTGAAATAATATGGTAGACCACTAGCCAGTTAGAGGGACAATAAAAGTGGCCATAACCGTAATTCAAAATGGGGTGGACAGATGTATTCGTAATTTTATTATAGTGAATGTAAAACTCGAATTTTTCACATTTCGTGGAGAATAATGAAGCGCGACGTGTTTAAAATCGACTTAAAATAATTAGATATTATATAGATTGTGTCTCATAAAAAACGGACTTCAATTGTGATAAAACCAGTTATTAAGATGTAAAAATTAAATTGCTGAATCGATTTTGATAAAGACTGTATGAGACTAATCTTATTATGTCATATATAATATAATAATTTTCCTTAAGTCATAATAATTTTCCTTAGATCGTTTTATAAAATAAATTTATAAATACTTAGTTCTGAGGTGAGAAACATGAAACAATTGATCGAATCGAGAACCTTCAGTTTTCAATCGGTTTCAGAAAGAAGGGAATTTTTTTTTATCTTTTTTTTTTATACAACTTAGAATGGCAAAACATGCTAACGGCCCACCTGATGGAAAGTGGTAACCGTCGCCTATAGACATGAGCAGTACCATGGACATAATAGAGTATACTGTTTCGCCCATGATACTCCCCATGCGTTGCCGTCCCTGAGGACTCAGGTGTTATTCCTCTGTACCCAGTAAATTCACGCCATATCCCACCCATCAAACCGAAACACAGCCATGCAAACACAACTGCTTCACGGTTGAAACACGAATGGGACAGAGGTACCCAAGCAATCGACTTTTGTACAAAGTCTCCCTCTGGTAATGTCATCATTTGTAAATAAGAAAGGCAGTACCCACCCCAGCGAGTCTATAAAACTGTAACAACAGTAGGTATATAGAGGTCGTTGCCTGCAGGAGTGTTAGTTAATGGATATTGAAATAATTCTAAAGGTATGATGTAATGACCAGTGGTTGTCAAACTTTTTATACTTGTGTCTTAAATTAGTATGTTAAATACGTACTAATTTAAGACAACTAATTAATTTAACAATCTATGATGTGATGTACATTCTCAAAGTGTGCTCCAAGGAGCCCAGAGCTTCAGCGTTCCTTATAGAGATACTTTGAGAATGGCGGCCGTGATCAATACGTATTACAGCAACGTACTCGAGAGACTGTGCTCCTAATATCACGAATGTGAAATTATTGAAACGATATAGAAGTTACATTACTAAATTGCTAATGGATATAACTTAGTAAATATAAATTTGTTATATGAATTAAGAATTGCTATTAAGAAAAATTAATATCAATTTAGAGAAAATAATATTCCGAAAGTTGCCATGTGGTCCCGGCATAAAATAGGCCAATCCTTCCTTTCCCGTAAGAGGCGATTAAGAGAACTTATTGTTTCGAGGAATGGGCAGCAGGGTCCCTCTTAAAATATCACCAAAGCCTAACTGCGGTTGCCAATCTACCTGCCAAGCGTAGCAACTACTGGCAAAGCCCTCCAAGGAAGCTTATGTTCAGCTGTAGGCAGTTAAAGGCTGGTATGATGATGATGATGATGGAATTGTTACTTATGCAATATTTAGAACTTAAATTTGGGATTAAACAAATGTGTTCAGTTTCGCAAAAAATACTACAATCGTGAAAAGTCAATAAACGTAATATTTGACGATTACGTTACGTTGAGAGTTAATTTACGAGAAGTTTTTTTTTATACAATTTAGAATAGCAAACAAGCTGACGGCCCACCTGATGGAAAGTGGTAACTGTAGCCTATAGACATGAGCAGTACCATGGACATAACAGAGTATACTGTTTCGCCCATGACACCCCCCATGCGTTGCCATTCCTGAGTACTCAGGTATTATTCCTCTGTGCCCTGTAAATTCACGCCATATCCCATCCTTCAAACCGGAACACAGCCATGCAAACACAGCTGCTTCACGGTAGAAACACGAATAGGATAGAGGAGCCCAAGCAAACGAGTTTTGTACAAAGTCTCCCTCTGGTAAGGTATATTTTTTGACAGAGATAAAAAGTAGGCTATATCCTTTTCTAAATCACACAATACGTGTATACCTAATTACATAGTTAAGCTATTGAGGTAATAAACAAACAAACTCACTTTCATATTTATATTAGTAAGGATTACAAAATTCCAAATAAAAAGGAGTATAAAAAAGGTATAAAGTATGTGATTGCCAGTACATTAATAACAATAAGTAGTTGCCATGCTTGGCAGGCGGCTTAGCAACCACAGTTTGGCTTTAGAGATTTTTTTAAAGAGGGATGTTGCTGCTCATCCCTCTACCATTACGTTCCCTTTGTCTTCTTTTATGATACCCAAGAAAGAAAGGTCTGGCCTATTCTATGCTGGAATCACACGGATCGGATATTAAAAAATATTATATATTAATTTATTCAATATAAAACCACGCTTAAAATATGTTGTGAGTGTGTTACGCGGACGGGTACATCACCCACAAGTGGTAGAGACAGTTCAACTGCTAGTACCTATATATATATATAA